CCACTGTAGCTTGTGACTAAAACATGAGCAGTCAGACAAATGCAATTCAATTAAATATGACCAATAATATATGGAAGGTTCGCATACTGCGATTCCTATAAACGGGGAGACGGAATGAAATCTAGCAAAATTAGCACGAAATGCATGCTACCAGAAAATGTGAATGCTCTAGCTTTTCGATCAATAGGCAAGATGGCGGTAGCTCTTTTTCGAATAGCTATTATTTTGCGATGCATTCAACAGGTGAATCTTTTCAGTTACGGTCGCAGTAAGTTCCTTTTTATTCGTTACTACCCACCACGCCGCGCAGATCTCACTTCCTTTTATGACGGGGCAGTAATTGTCGCAAGCTGTCTGTCTGAGCAGAAGGAATGGAAATTTCTCGATATTCAAGAGTATTATGGCGCTGCGGATATTTTTTCCCTTTCCCTATTGTCGCGTCGTTTTCTTTCTCTCGCATCAGACCTTAATTTAGGAAGAAGCTGCTGCACTCAAGCCTTTTAATGGTAAAAAACAAGTAGAAAAGATTTTGGTTCATTAGCTGACACTCTTCCAACGGGTTATGTAACTAACAGATTTCGCGACAAGCAATCCATATCAAATGTGAGAACTTTTAAAGCTTCGCTCTTTACCATGTATACCCCCGACACTGAAATTTCAATGGTATCAGCTTATCTAATCATTTCCGAATTCTGCATGTTTCTTTTTTTTCAACAAATCTGGAGATGATGGCACTACAATTACAAATTGCGACCACTCATTCAGACAGAATATTGAAGTGAAACAGCCCATTCAGGGAATGTAACTGTATGGCGAAATTACTGCTACTAGAAATACACAAGAAAGAGACACTTGCCTTGACTAATGCATCTTGGAAATTAGAACCTTTCTTGATTATCAGCCGTTGATGGAATTTTTATAAGATTTTCGATCTAAGTTAATTAGATGGTGACTATAATCTCCCAGTTATTTGACTATGGGGCCAGAATTACAGGAGAGATTGGATCCGTTGAAATATTTCCTTGATTTGTATACGAATTATTCAAAAATTTGTCAACAATAAAAATAGCTTTTCCCCACATTTTCAAAGTGGGCATTAGCTATTTCCTATAAACATACAGAAATAAAATTATAGTTACTGCCCTAAGAGCGATAAAAATACAGATTAACCACAATATTAGCATGGTGGTAGGGGGAACTGACTGCCAAAGCCATAATCCCGAGATCGAATCTTAGAGACGACATAAATATTTCTACGGGTGCAAATGTTGTTGCAGCATGGAAAAACGTAAAATACGGTCAAATCTCGAGAAGTTGTGGTAGAAAATAATCGTATAACGCCACCGAGATATTTTCCATGAAAACGGAGGTGAAGCAGGCAAATTCATACTGTCAACCTACACGGTGCCCACGGCCTAAAGCGCAACCTTTCCTTTTTGGCCACGAAGAAATTCGTGGTCAAGAGAGAGCTGGCTAAGGCTCAGACCAGGAAGATTAGTAATAACAAGCAATACAACACAGACTTCTATAAAATCTCTAAAGATTTCGCTAAATTTGATGCCTATGTAAAAACAGGCGAAAGCTTTGTGCTTTTGGATCTGCTATCTGCTTACCTTTACACATAGAAAAGCACGTTATAAAAGTACGAAACATTACTCAGGCAGCGCGTTCAGCGAAAATCAAAGTCGGGTCTATTTACTCAGTGAACTATTACAAATACAATTTTAATTTTCTAAATAATACAAATAATATACTTTTTTTGGCAGTTTATCTCAAACTCTTCCATGTTCTAGCAATTGTTTTGAAGAAAGTAACAAAATTAAATCACATAAAGACAGTAATACGAATATTCTGCGTTAGATATAAGCGACAGAAGAAATCAGTTGTTATAATGATTTAGTGACTCACTATGCGACTTACTCAGCTTCGCCTAAAGGCATTATTGAGATTAACTGCCACCGATGATTGGTTGGCAGAGATCTCTTTAGGAACCTAAATTTTTTTAACTGACAACACATAAAAGTGATCAGTTCTCACTGATTCAGAAGCGTACTCCAGCCATACTGCAAATAACGTTAAGCTAGTTGCCGAAAGAAATACTCCTTTCAATTTATCGATAAAACTAAGTTAAAAAATTTTTATTTCACTTTATTACATTCTTCTTCACCCCTTCCTGGTACACACATGAAAAACTGCTGAAGTTCACACACATGAACACTCATGAAGTTCCGGGTGGATGTTGAATAGAAGAGTTATACAAGACAGAACAATGGAAGCAACCAAGTGAATACAATATAAATGACATGAATCAAAAAGCTAATTTATGAGCTTCACTTGTAAAAAACATTACTCATATTTGAAATGACCCAGAATTAAAATCTCAAAGAATTTTAATTCCTCGAAGCCAGAATTATTCAACAAAGATTTAATAAATTATTTCACTTCAGCACTCTAAAATTATTTTCTTTAAAACAATGAATGATTTGCATGAACGTTATATGTGGGAAAAATTTGAAACTCCCAATGATTGAACAAGGCTATTTAATCACTGTTAATCGAAACCAGAACGAACCAGCTACTAAAGCTCAATGAGATTTTTAAGGTGCTAGTAAAACAATCTTTCAAATAAAATGAAGTGTCCAATATCAAAATGTTGTCGCATATATATTTGAACATTAAAATTGAAGAAAAGAAACTGAAGACAAGAAATTAAATGGCATACGCCCAATTTACGAAAGCTATAATAATAATAATGAGACCTTGATAAAGCTATAAGAATAATGGTAACTTCAGAAAGCCATAACGTCAAAATAAACTATTTAATTTCAAAATAAAATAGTGGCGATTATTTTGATCGGATGATTAAAGTGATCATGATTTAAATTAGAGATTTTATGCACATGGTTTAAAATACCAATCTCATTGAAAAGATTTTTTTTAATTACAGATTATCTAAATATTTAACCTTCAAAAATAATCTATTTTACCTTGCTAAGGAACTAGATAAAAGGAAAACGATAAAATTTACACGAAAAGTATGCAGATAATAATTGATTAAATATAGTACTAAAAATGTTATCTCGATCGTTAAAGAGTCTAGTACTCAGTGCAGAAACTTTACAAGCAGTGACTGTACTACAGAGGTAAAAATATACAACTAGATTAAAATGTGCATAGAAGCAAAAGAACTAAATGCTACTCAAACATCATTCAAGGTGATATTTTCCGGCATTGAAAGAAACTTTTTAAATTTAAACCGGTGCACAAGAAATTGATAAATAAGAATTTGAAAAGGCTTCAAAGCTCGTTCTTTTACCAAAATCGGTAAATGGATGTGCCCCTCATTAACATTACATATGTGCGAATTCAAAAAAAGAATAAAATATTTTGAAAATATATATATATACATGCGTCAGATACTTAGCTGATTTTTTCCTATAACTTTTTCTTTACTGCTTATTTTCCTAACGATTTTCAATCATCAGGAACGATATAAATATGTCTTTCATGGGGTGCTAATTAGACTACGGTATAACAAGTTAAAGTGCTACATCTAGAAGGTGCCACACTAATTAGTACTGGCTTACGGTACAGATTTTCATAGGAAAACTTATAAGGTATTTCTCCCGCCTTCTTAGTATGCCTTCGTGGTGTAGTGGTCAGCACGCTCCACGCTATTTCGAGAGGTCCGTAGTTCGGGTTCCGGCGAGGGCACTGCTCATTTTTCATCTTCCCTGCTTCCAAAAAAAATCTTAATGACTCTACAAATTGATTTAAAAACAACGCCTGTTACAACAACATCAACAAAAAGGGGAAGTTATAAAAGTGAGTTCCTCTCCCTGCTCGACCCTTTAAATTGTAATTTTTATATATCGTATTTCGAATGAAATGGCTCACATGAATTTCATGCTATTTTTATTTGCTAAATTAATCATTTTCAAAATAAAAAATAATTATGTATTAATAATTAATTCAAATTTTTCGTGCCAGCTCGCAAGTAAAGTAGTAAGTAAATAATTTTTCCATTGGTGGGGCTCATAAACACAGACCACATTTTACTCTTAATGTATACTTAATATGTATCCGACTTTATGAATGTGAATTTTTTTAAAGCCTGATTTTAGGTGGCTATAGTACAAGATACACAAAATGCTACATAATTGTAGACCATAGTTTCGCAATGTGGGCGCTACTATTCACAAATAGGCACAGAGGAGAAGTACTTTTCAGATGGATAATAAGAGGGCACTGGAAAGAAAGTTGACAATAAACTGCGTTTAGAAAATTTGACTCATAAAACAATTTTGAAATTAACATTTAAACATTCACATGATTATACAAACATTAGTCACACATTTTGAATCATACCAAAATCCTGTTATGCCAAACTTCAAAATGATGTCTAAGTTGCTCCATTTTTCTACTTCAAGGGAACAAAATTTACAAACTATTAGTATAATGCTCTAAAAACATGACCACTGTTTTCAGTCGGTGCCTATAGATTATATTCAAAAGACATGTAACATATCCTTGTTACAAAGGTTGTTAAACACGAAGATCGTTGAATAAACTGAAAAATGGAGGCACTGAGCAAAATGAAAATCGGAAAGGGAGAAGTGAACAAAAAGAGGTTGAGATTAATAAACGTTTTGGATTAATAAAACATCTTAAAGTATTCCAAGAAACTTCCAAATCGAGAACTTCTGCAAACTGAAAGAACGTATATGTTTATTGAAGAAAACTATAAACATAACGTAATAAGACAAAAAAAAAAAAAAAAAAAAAAAAAAAAAAAAAGTTAAAGGACTTTGAAAGATGTTAATTCGTATTCATATTATAAATCGAAAAAAATCACGAAAACTTCAGTACAATCAATTAATTCCGCCCCAGTAAACAAAAACAATCTCAAGAAGCAATTGTAAGGGCAGCGTTCTGGGCCATTCGATCACTTGCAGAAATTTCACAATAGTAGCTTAATCCATTACAATTTGTTCATGATGTTAAAAAAATGTAACAAAACACCTACCTTTTTCACATACGTATCCAGCAATGGTAATTCCAAGTCCTTGTTGGTCTTTGACTAGTTCCACTTCGAAAGTTTCCATCTCTGGCTGATCGTCTGCTAGGTCCTTCTCTCGAACTCCCACCCGTCCATCGGTTGCCGAGAACGCAGCCTGGATTAAAAGAACAGAAAATAAACAAAATGGCAAAATTCAAGCTAAGAGATGAAAATTTTCATATTTATCTCAGTAACGCATACTTTTTTTTAATAAAATGGAATTATTTAATTAAATATATGGTAAAAATTAGACTTTACTGTTATAGAACCCTCATCGACGGTGCTGAATCTATTCTAAAGCGAATTCCATACTTTATTTTAAGTAACTATATTAACTTGATGAACATGTCTCGGCTAAGGAAATAAATCCTTTAGCCATTTTTTCAAACACAGAATATGAATAAAATTCCAGGGCTTTTACGTAAACCATCAGAATAAATGATTTTGGTACACTGACGCATATTCATAAAAATATCCAACTCAAATATATTCTATTCTTCTGATTTCGCTTACGTTAAGGGAAATAAACCTTGCATCCTAGATATATCCAAAAACAACAGAAAATTTAATATAGAAGACTTTATTCTTTCCTCTAATACCGTGGCTCAGGAAACCCACCAAGGGAACTATATTTGTCCGTTTTATATTACCTTTCGTTTATTTATAATAAATTTTAAAAATGTTGATATCTAATTTTTTTTTTTTTTTTTTTTTTTTTTTTTTTTTTTTTTTTTTTTTGCAAAGCGATACAAAATTTTGCTTCCTGTAGCTTTTCTTTCTTTACTCTCAAACCGATAAGAAATGTCAGAATGTATAGTTGTCAAACTAACATGAAATACCTTTTTTCCCCCTTTTTAAAAGATTTATTGGTGGCAATATTCTGTTGAACTCTGTCTGATTTAAGAAATGTGCTTTATTACGCATTTTATAACATCCCTATAAATTTGCTAACAACAGTCTTTGCATCTCGAAGAAAACAATTTAATTCCAAATCTTATTTTACAGAAAACAGGGTCCATTCTTTTTTTTTCGGGGGGGGCGAGGGAAGGGCAGATATATGCATTATTCATTGCATTTACTCCTAATTTCTGTGAGGATGGTTTTCAGCAAACTGTCAGAATTTTTCTTGACGTTAATGCAGTTATTGAAACTATGAATGCTTGAGCAACTTGTATTAATCTGACAGTCAGAACAACAGAAATAGGAGTACCTGGTATGCACAAGAATAGAATTATACTTTGAGTATTTTGCAACAAGTGTGGGAAATGCTAAAAAATATATTCATTAAAAATTGAATACGCACATAAAACAAACGTAAACCTTAAAAATAGGATAACGATCCTTATGAAAGAAAGTCAGTGAACGGCAGTAAAAGAAGATACGGTAAATTATAGTTGGTGAGGTACTACTAAAATCAGTGACACATGCACAGACACAAACAAAAACAAAATAATAATATTTTGTATAAATTTGGGTATTTCTTTACAATTCTGAATTTAAAATTTACATCTTAAAACACTAACTAATTTTTACTTTCTTGTACGAAGCAAAAAGGAAGTCTTGTAATCGCGAAAAGTTTCAGGCAGAATATTTCAACAAAAATATCCATTTTGACCGCTACTGAATGCAATTTAACGATGTTTTTTCGTGACATCTGTACGTAAGGGCAGAATAAAAGACTGTTTTCCTCCAAAAAATTAGAAAACTGCTTTAAAATGAGTTCTGAAGAGAATTTTTTGTGGTATCTGTACGTACGCACGTATATCGCATAACTCAAAAACGAGTAGCCTCAGAACGTTGAAATTTTGTATATAGGACTGCTATAACACGTAGATGTGCACCTCGTATTTTGGTTGCAATCGGACGAACCAAACGTATATAAATAATATATTATATCCACACCGTTACTCGGCTCAGTGATCTCAGTTTCTTTATTCTTATATGTTTATAAATTGTGCATTTTTTGCTTTAAAAATGATTGAATTATGTTGTTCTTATATTCCGGTTAAGATTTTTATGCCTTTAGTAAATCTGTATGCAATATTTTTAGAATTATCAACAATTTAAAAGTTGTCTAAGTGCCGCTAAGCCTAATAATTTTTTCCATGTCGGCCATTGCTTGTTTACATTTCAAACAGCAGAATAGTACATTTGTTGCTAATCTAGAGAAAGTAAGCTTCCCAATAAGGCCTTTTATTATTCGAGATTCGAAACAACAATGCTTAATGTCATTCTGGAATTTATTCGAGGAAATAAATGTTTAAGATTTACTTCATAATTTTCAATACAGACATGTTCAGTTTTTATGTATTTTTGCCTTGTCGCGAAGTGAGAACTGAATTGATTGAATGAGAATTACTGAATCGTCTGTGAAAAACTGTTTCTTTGTTGTTGTTGTTGTTTGCTTAATTTCTTTTATACATCGTTTTAGATTTATTATAGTATTTGAACAGAACATGTAGCAACGATTAGATAATTCTTAAGATGATATAAATTTTGTGCATTCTGAGTTAAAAGATGAATAAAATGTAACGCTGTTAAGTGAACCTAGGGCCAGAGTGTCGCTATGGTAAACAAATATAGTGAGTTTTAAAGAGTGCATTTATTCTATTGTGGTTTATGCTATCGACGAAGTAGATTTAATCCAATCCAATAAGTTTAAATGAAATTCAAGAAAAAATGGGTATAATTTAGTACTCTGTACAAGGAAGTCATGTGGTGTACACATGACTTCCTTGTACAGATTTTTAATCTACTGATTCAATTATTTGCTGAGTTTTTCCTAGCATCAAAGGTTCAAAAAACACGAAATATTACTTTAAATGAAAAGGATATTGACATACAACTCGCATTTAAAATATCCTTCCATAAAATTACAAGCTGTATACAATTTACGAACAAAAATTTTAAACTTGAAAAACATTTTACAGATATAAACGAAAGGATTTTGTACAAAAGAACGTAATGTATGACGTAAAGAATACCTTTCACACTGTATAATAATGCAGCAACTATTTAAGACATGAAGCTGGTAACCTTTATGAACTAAATGTGTTATTACAAAATAAAATAAGTATTTAAACGCTTAAGAAGTGCATTTTTTCCTTTTAAATCGCTCATATTGTCAATCAATGTAAAAGAAATTTGAAAGGTGATTTCAAGATCTTATGTCACGTCGAAGATTAAATTTCGGAGACAAGCAACGTCAAAGGCAAGTTAAAGATATCATGTTTCGAGAAGTGGCAATACTTGTCAATTCGAGAGAAAAGGTAGCGTAGCTTAACGTAACAGTTTATCAATTTTTGGAAAGTCTCAATTAAAGATGTTTCTAGCATGAATATAAAAATTGTAAATTATTATCTATTTCAGAAGTTTGAAAATATTCGAATGGATTTCCCTATCAAACCAGCTAAATTAAAAAATAAATAATTAAAGTAATCCCAATTAAACAAGCTAAATTAGCAAATAAATGCAATAAAATCATTAATATTTGGTCATTAAAAGGTGAGATATAATCAGAGGATTATCACAATTGGTACAGATCTGATGCACTGCCACTCTTAGCAGATACCAACGTCTCTTTTCTGTTGAAACCTCTAAATCCAAAGAATTAATCAATAATAAGTTAGGAACCTCCCTTTGCTATAAGGGTGTCAGATCACTTCTAAGGACATTATAGGTACATATTTCATACTAAAATAAATATCTTTACAGAAAGAATGTAAGAAAAATTAAATCGGTTTTCAGAAAAGCTGACATTTACCGATAAATTGAGTGAACGAGAAAATATTTCGGGAATATTTTGTCAATCATTTTCATTTCGGTCACAGAAAGAATGTTTCAAAGAAGATACGAAAGAAGCGTTGCATTGCATTCCAGAAAGCTGACACGCTTCCCAAACAATAAGCATCAGATCTTGATTAGATTCCAAGCATTCCGTGTAGCAGCAAGAAATATGCAGCAAAGAGGAAACCACGACGGGAAGAATTCAGAACATATATTTAAAATCGACAAAATAGAGTACGCGTACGGGTTTCCTTGCATCAAACAGTGCTACATTCTTTATATTTAGTTTCGCGTCAAATTTTAATCACGATGTATAATCGCACTACCATTACCAAATGAAGAAATCATCTATTATTGTAAAATGAAAAATTTGAGTAAAGTTTGTCGCATAAACGTACAGAAGCTATGAAACTGGAATATAGACTCCGAACAATAAAGGCGTGCACATTCTCTTTTTCCTCCCATCCCCTTTTTTCAAAATCCGATAATTGTTTTTTTTAAATTTAGTGTTGAAATTTTTATTGACAGAATTTTTGAAAATATCTTCGTTTGACCAACAAACAAAAAAGCCTTAGACTTTTACCCTTTGCATCATTGGGTATAGTTGAAAAACTTCTTTTTAAATGAAAGTAAAACCGATTTTTTTTTAAATCGTTCCATTTTTCTACTATTTCACATTCATTATCTTAAAATTACAATACCTAAAAATATATCGGTATTAAAATTTTGAAATTTTCAAGGATTGTATAACAAACTCTTCGCCCTCTATTAACAGAAAAAAGATAAAAATTAAACATTAATTAAAGTATTTTCCCTCTCTCTCTCTCTATATATATATATAGATATCTTAAATACGCAGCAGTATGCCTTCAAGCGAAAGGGGAAGTTCCCATTTTTTTTGGGGGGGGGCCTCATATGATTTTGCTTGGGAAAATTATTTGAAAGATATGACATACTATACGTGACACTATTTTTTTACTTTGTATATATTTCTCTAATATTGGTTTTATTAACTTCATTATTAATCAATCGCCTCTCTTATTTGACAAAAAAAAAAAAAAAAAAAAAAAAAAAAAAAAAGAAAGAAAATTTGCAGTGTCGTTAAAATTTTTTCATACATTTTTCTCAGCATCTCATTTTAAAAGCTAATTTTTTCAATTTTATCGTGATAGGGAATACTATATATCTTTTTTGTTTAGTTTTATTTTCTATTATTTTGCTGCTTATAAAAAAAATGCTTCTCTCTCCTTTAAAACGAGAGCGATAAATAAATATTAATAAGGTGGTTTTCTAGATCTTTTTTTAAGAATAACCTTTTACACGGCCAGC